CCCCCCCTGGAGGCGAAAAAGTCCTGAAGGGGGGTAACGGAAAAAATATTTTCGCGTGATAAAAAATTTTTTGTGTCATGGCGGGCCCCCCTTACGAAGTTGGGCCCCCCCCCCTTGAAAAATTTCTGCGTACGCCACTGTGAGTCAGTCTTGTATTTATTGTGAAAGTATCTCTTCTGTGATCTGTTTTTCTTATGTTTAATAATCTTCATCAATTCTTATTCATCATTGATCAAATCTGTTTTTGTTTATTATCGAACGATAGATCGGGCCAAGATCGATTATATCTGTAATGAAATTGTTGGATTAAGACAATTTTAATTTTTTATAAGTTCTTCTTGTAAGAATCTGTGAATTTTCATTATTTCTGTTGTATAAAAAACTAAAGATAATATCTAATATATTGTAGAGATCTTTGAAGTTCCAAAAATATTCTATAGAAAAATGAAGTACATGTGTCATTCTTTTCTAGACTATCCATGGACAAATATTAAAATTGATGGATGGCTTCAATTGAAACGTTGGTTATTTTTACCAGATTATACAAATCCTCCATTAGCAACACAATTAATTGGTAATCTTGACTATTTTTATTTTTTAGAGTGAAAATATTATTTATTTATTTTTTTAATCTAGCTGATTTCTTCCAACTTTTATTTGCTTGTCAACAATGGCGTGTATTTAAATATGAAACGAATGAAAAAGATCATATTTATATTCAAGCAGGTGAATCAAATCGTGAAATAATTTATGACAATGATGTTTATAAAGATAATCCAACACGAGATTTTGTTACGAAGAGACGAAATTGGTTTGATCAAATAAAATATGTTATATTCATGTATAGTGCATGGTGTGTTCTATCAATAGTTTATTTAGCTGGAACAACTCGAATTAGTTTACTTGGTCTTGGTTATCTTATAGCATGTTTTTATTTCTTTTGGTATGGACAAGATTTTTTAACCAAACATGTTACAGTTATGGTTCGAATGTATGTTATAATCATAGTTTTTTTTTTTTTTTGTTTTAATTTTTTCAATATTTTATTTAGATGGACTTATTTAATTTATTACTGTTTTGCGGTTATATTTATTAAAGCATGTCTACAAGTAAGAACAATGGAGGGGAATACTTTTATTAATTCTTTATTAAGAAGAATTATAAACAAAAAAAAATCGTTTTCAGATAGTTGCTTGTATTGATATTTTATCAATTGGATGCGTTATACAGCAAATCTTTTCGGTCGCTTGTATAACATCAGACAGTTCAAGTAGTTCTTGTTAATTAATGCTTTACTTTTATTAATTCTTTTGAATATCTTCTTTGATAAAGCATGATTCTTAATTGAAATTGATTCTTCTCTCTAGGTGGCTGTTTGCATTTTTCTTTATCCATTGACGCCTTGTGAAGGGATAAAACGTACATCTTCATTTTGTACATTTGTCGACTTGCTTGTACCATGCTTAAAATTGGACTTTATTCCTCCAAGAGATTGTCCTACATCATCTAAGGGTATATTCTTATTGTTATTTTGTTTTTGTTTATAGAGAATTTAAGTTTAATTTCTTTTTTTTGTTGAAGTTCTAGGAATTCCAGAACAATGTGATAGAAGTGCAGCTAAAGCTAATCTTTTCATGTATATTTTCTAATTGTAATTTCGAATGTCTAAATAAATAAAAATTGTTTATTAATCGATAGGGATGGATTTTGTTTGATATGTTTATTATTACAAAAACGAATGTTTGGTAGCTATTATTGGGAGCATATTGTTGCTGAACTTCGTTCACAAGCTAAATTAGCTAGTGAAGGTGCTGTTTTATTTAATGACATATCACGTAAACGTGATAAGGAAGCAACTGATCGTGAAAAGCAAACAGTGGAAAAAATAACTCAAAGTATAGATCGTATTAAAGAACAACATTCAAAATTAAATCGATCGGATAGCAAAGCTGCTGCATTACTTACTGATTCATCTGATCATTTCGAAGGTTTGTTTAGAAAACAAAAAAAATAACAAATATTAAATATTTTAATTCTTGAATTTTTCTAGTCATTCGATCAGGTGATTATTATATGTTTGATTATGAATCAGATGAAAAAGAAGATGAAGAAAAACAAGATGAAGCAACTGTTGCTCAAGAACAAGTAAATCAAAAGATAAAACGAAGAGAAATAAACAATCATGTTCTATTTTAGATTCTTCAAGTTATAACAGCACGTGATAAACATACAGCTGTTGCTGCTGCTGCACAAAGTAAGTTGTTTCCGAAAAAACGCAAAGAACAATAGAGATTAGTTTTCAACAAACTTTAACTTTATTACACCTATACTGAACTGATATTTCGAAGAATCTTTTTTGATTCGATTGACGTAAATAAAAATAATCTCTTTAAATTTTTTTCAGAACCTTCAACCTCTTCTTTTGATGAATCAGACAGTCAAGAATTTCTTCCAACATCACCTATTCAATCTCCATTGTCTCCAGCAATAACAACTACAACGGAAATGATACCATCATCGACTACTGAACAGACAACATCTGTTGAACCGAAAGGTAGAATTAATCTATTTGTAATATTTAACTATTTCTTTAATAATTATTTTATTTGAAGAATCTGAAGAAAGTCAAAAATCAGTTCTTTTTAAAATATGCTTAATTGGTCAAATTGTTGTTGATTATTCAATTGATTTCTTTAAACGAAATTCACGTGATTACAGAGAGGTTTCAATACAATTATATCAAATGAAAACACAAGATAAAAATAATCAACATGAAGAACGTACCCGTTCACAAATGAATATTACAACAGTAAATAATCTCAATTTGTTTTTCTTTTTTATTATACAAAAAAAAAAAATTATTTTATCTTTTTTTTTTTCTAGGTTTCAGCTGTTAATCTCGATAACGCTGATTTTACAGCTTCTGTAAATAATGCGTAAGCTTTTCTAATGAAAATCTTTTTCGATTCTAAACCATTTTTGATTTATTCAGTCCTACTAATACTGAAACACATTCTCAAACAACTGATTTAGATAAACTTTCACGTCTTTATCGTTTTTTTGATTCATTAATTTACTATATAATGTCTCGTTCTGAACTTGTCTGTTATTCAGCAATGGTCATTAATCATTTAACATCAGGTTCAATACTTTCAATGCCATTACCATTATCAATATTCCTTTGGGCTATGTTACCATCACGACCATCAAGAAATTATTGGATTACAATCATAACTTATACAGAAGCAATGATTGTTGTTAAATATATATTTCAATTTCGTTTCTATCCATGGAATGCTTCAGAAATAATAGAAAATAATCCATTATCACCAGTGAATATTATTGGAATTAATCGAAGAGAAAATGCTGCTTCAGCTGCAGATCTTTTTCTACTTTTATCATTATTTTTTCATCGATCAATATTAAAAGTATTCATTTAATTAATTTTGTTTTTGCATTCATTTATATTTTCATTGTTTCTATTTTAGCAACTTGGACTATGGAAAGCAGAAACAGGTAAATTAGATCGTAGACATATTTACAAAACTATAACAAGAAAATTATTCTCGTTTGACATATATTTTTCTCGAAACTTCTATTCCAAGAGATTGCTCGAGAAATTCTACTTTGTATGAGAAGTCAATATATTTCTTAAAATACCACAACAGTTACTGTTAAGCATTAGGTGATCAAAAACATATTGTGATGAAATATACTCATTGATCATAGTCTACATCTAAATTTATCAATAAAAAAATAAACATGATTTTTGGTCGTTCTACTATGAAACATAGTTCTCATGTAAGTTAGATATGTACTAGATCCAATGTTTTTACAAAGAGAATTCGTTCTTAAGAAAAATTCAGCCATAAATGATGAGTAATTCTATGATGAAGTAATTAAATACATGAAGAGGAAAATAAATTGTAAAAAATGTCAATATGTATTATAACGACCGTGAAAGCATCCATATAAAGGGTGTTCCGGAAGTTCTGAAACAATTTTAAAACTCACCGTTCTCGCATTCTACAAAAGCAAATTCGTTGAAACTTTGGCAGATTGTTGTACATATATAGTACTACATAACTACAAAGTTTGAGGTTTATAGGTTACACTATGGATGAGAAACTGTTACAACACTGACATGTACTATTTTTTAAAGTTTCCTGGTCATCTTCGGGGTGTGCAACATTTTTTTATTTCGTCTATATCTTGGCTTGGGTAAATGATGAAATCTTGAATTTTTTTAAAAAGATGCGCCGTGAATAGTTCTACAAAAACTGAAATAGCAAATCCCTATTGACTTGTGTTAATGGTTTCTGCCATACTCAAAATGAAAAACCTACATGATAGTACTACTTCTCACCATATTGTGCGTAATAAAAAAAGTTTTGGAAGACTTTTTCGCTTTCCAATAGGGATTTGTTTATACAGCTTTTTTAGAGCTTTCGACGGTGCATCTTTTGAAAACAAAATCAAGGTTTTTGTCATTTTCTCAAACTGAGATACATGCAAAACAAAAAGGTCTTCCAAACATTTTTTATTACGCACAATATGGTGAGAAGTAGTACTATCATGTAGGTTTTTCATTTTGAGTATGGCAGAAACCATTAACACAAGTCAATAGGGATTTGTTATTACAATTTTTGTCTAGCTTTTCACGGTGCATCTTTAAAAACCAATTCAAGATTTTATCATCTACCTAAGCCGAAATATAGATATTTTGGCAGACCCGGAATACAGGAAAATTTTAAAAATAGTACATCATAGTGTTGTTACAGGTTTTCCTCTAGAGTACAACCTATAGACCTAAAACTTTGTAGTTATGTGGCACTACATATGTGCAATAATATGCCAAAGTTTCAAAAAGTTTGCGTTTGTTGAATGCGAGGACGATGAATTTTAAAATCGTTTCAGAACTTCCGGAACACCCTTTATGTATTTGCAAACATGATGTTGGGCATCAATCCTGGTTTCTATTCCAACGTTACATCAGCAGACAAACGTATCTTTAGCGAAATTAATCAGATTTTAGAAGCAAATCTTTTTGTTAATATCTGCTAAATGTCGATTAGTTCCGATTCGAGTGCGAAAAATCATACCCGTGTAAGACACTAGTCCTGGTGAGCAACTATCCTATAGACTCGTTTATTGAATATAGAAAATCATAAATTGCATAATTCTTTATGATTAGATTTAATTGATCAAGATGTTGTTCGACCTGTCCAACAAGAACTTTCTCAATCAGAAATATCGAAAGTAAAAAGGTAAATTAATTGAAATATTTCATATAAATTTTCAATACTTAAAATAATTATTTTTCATGTTTGCTTTTTTTTTTTTGAATTAGTGGTTATTTTTTGAAAACAATCATTGATGTTTATCGACAACCACAACAATCATCATTTGTTCGTGATGTTTATGCATCATTATTTTTTTGTGATTTCATGAACATGGTTATTGTTATACTTTTTTATAGTCAATTTGGTGTAAGTCATTTTTTTAAATTTAAAAAGTTTCTTTTTTCATATGAATTCGTTAACAGTTAACAAATATTCAAAAGATAATAAATAAGTCACATATGTGATTTGAATCATAAGATAAGAATAAAATTTAAAAAAAAAACAATGTCCTCTCACTGGATGGGATTATGCACTATTTCATATCCCCCGTTTATTATTTTTTTTTCTAAAGAAATAAAAATAAATTTTTATTCAATATTTAGGAAAGAGCTGCTGGAAATAATGTTGTACAAACAATCAAAGACAATAAAGTTATATATTTGTTTGAATTTATGAATTTATAAATAAAATTGTTTTTTATTTTTTTTATTTTCGAAGGTTCCTGTAGCTTTTCTTGTAATGCTTTTAATTCAATTTTTATTAATTATAATCGATCGAGCACTTTATTTACGTCGAAATGTTCGTGGAAAATTCTTTTTTCATTTCTTTCAAGTTATTTGTGTACATGTTTGGTTATTTTTTGTATTACCTGCTATAACACATATGTAATTATAATATATAGTAGAATCATATTTATTTTAATGAAATCCTTTGTCTGTTTGTTTGCTTTTTTTAAGTACATTTCGTGATAATGTTGCTGCTCAATTTTGGTATTTATTTAAATGTATTTCTTTTGGTTATTCATCAACGCAAGTACGATTAGGTTATCCAAAACGTATTGCTGGAAATTTTCTTATGAAAAAATTTAATTATGTTAATCAAATATTATATCGAATGTAAGAAGTTATCTATTTAAATTTAATTTTTAATCTAATTTTTCATGTTTAGTTATTTATTAATTCCATTTTTACTTGAATTGCGAACAATTATGGATTGGATTTTTACGGATACAGCACTTGGATTATCAAGTTGGTTACAATTACAAGATATTTATTCGGATGTTTATTTGTTGAAATGTGCACGATGGGCAGAACAAGTAAAAACAAGTTTAAATTAATGGATTTCTTCTTTTCAGAAAGAAGCCCTTTTTTTAATGTTAGGCTATCGGAGTCGATCGGAAGGACAACAAGATCTATAACCCGCAGACTTGCATCCCACAAGTACTGTTAAGAGCAAGTGTCTATTAAGTAGAAGGAAGAGCCAAGTATAAGAGTTCGAATTTAAAGTTACATATTCATAACAAGTTTTGTGAGGACGAGACCAAGGCCTCTATTCTATTCACACCACCCATTGTAAGACCTACGAGAATATGTATAAATCTCGAAATTGAGTTTTTGTTCGAACAACTCACTTTTTTGTAGGTGAGATTTAAAGACCAATTTAGATGTTTTTTTTTTTTTTGAATTTTAGAAATATCGAACTGATCGTGGTGTAACTCGACCGAAACTAACAAAATATGGTGTTGGTGGTTCTTTATTAGCTTTATTAATTTTATTAATCTGGTTTCCATTATTATTTTTTTCATTTTCTTCATCATTTTATCAACCAAATCCATCTAACGAAGTTAATGTTGAAATTAAATTAGGTCCATATTTGGTACGATCATTCATTGTTCTTGTTTTTTTATTCATTCATTTTTCTTTCTAGCCAATTTATCAAATGACAGCACAAGATATCGATTTAGTTCCATTTACATCGGCTGATTTGAAAGCATTACGTGATAGAATTGATTCATTAAATATAGAAACAGCTACTAAAGTATGTATACATGCCGATTCGAGAATTTATTTCCGATATTGGAAACAATTTTGAATTCACCTACCGAGAGAACTACCCTGTGGATTATGAAACTGTTTTATTACTGAAAAGAGTTCGTGGTACTGATAAGAGAAACAGCAAAGATTGTCTGATAAGTTTTGGTCTCGGTTCCGGCCTACAAGATCGGAGCTACAAAAGAAAAGTCGATTTTGCACATCTCGAGTACCAGTTTTGTTAAACTCAGTTCACTTCAACCCCTGTTACAATAATCAACCTTTCAACAAGTACTTTGTCAAATGCTGAAAATCTCTTTGAACTCTCTTAATAGTGAAGGAAAAGGCCTATGAATCCAAACCCTTTTGATCTTTTCTTATCTCATTAAAAATCAATTCTATTGAAGATACAAAGTCGTAGATAAACAATCTAAAAGATAGCTCCGATTGCACTGTTTCTATATATTGAAAATTCAATCAACGTAAATTCGAATATTGTGTACGTAAAGAAGATTTGAAATATATACGTATTCATTGTCAAATAAATCTTTCTTTCAAGACTACATTAACAAATGTGCTTTTTTCATGTCTAAAACAGGATAGTGCTTATGGATTTTTACGTGATTTTAATCGTGATGATATTCAATGTGTAAATTTATTTGCTACAAGTGTTGATCTTTGGGAAATAAGTCAACCAGTACGTGATACTGTTGTTAATAATTTACGCTCCAATGTAACAGTACCTGTTCGATTTTCATATACAATAAGACGTTCTCCATTGGATCAAGATAATTCAGGCGATCAAGCAACTATTGTAACAGGAGAAAATACAGTTGGTATAACAGCAAATGATAAAAGTATTCGAAATGCATTAATTGAAATACTCAATGGAGCAATGGATTCACGAACAACTATGTATATTTGATAATATTATTTAAAATATTTAATAATTATTTACTTTTAGAAATTTTACAATTGTAAATTTATTACCAAGGTTTTTACATGTTAAACCGAAAGCAAAACCAGAAGAAATTTTTGCTTTTAAAAATAGTAATTTCATTCTTAAAAATTTTATTGATTATTTAAAATCAACATTTTGTATTTTAGGTTTTTTAAATGATTATTATGCTAATATTACGATGGGTTTAAATAGTACAAAAACAGTTCCCAATAGTACAGATGTTTGGTGGGAAATGTCCGAATATGGGAATAAATATAGTTATACTCCATCATGTAAGAAAAAATTAAGTTTATTATATAGAATTTTAATTGATTGTTTTTTTTATTTTTGCTTTTATTTTCAGGTGCCTTTTCGGGTCAGAATTATTTGAGTATGATCTTTTTCAATGATAAAGTTTCGCCGGCCAATATTTCATTTCTTACTCGATATGGGTTTGTAATTTTAAACTTTTTATAGCTTTGATTTCATAATTAATAGTAACATTCACCGCATGCTCAATTTATTTGACAAGTTTTATTATGTATATATAAAGCTTTTCAGAAGTTCTGAAATGATTTTCAAAATTCAAACTTTGCCAGATCATTGTACTTAATTAGTGCTAAATAACTACAAAGTTTGACATCAATAGCTTTGACTATAGACGAAAAAACTGTAATAGCACTATTATGCATTATTTTATCCATTTTCCAATAACTTGAGCTAATTAAATTCGATAGAAAAATGTTACGATAGCTATTTCTTCTAAGTTCTCTTTGTGAAATACATGACAGAGCAATAGAAAATGTTTTCTTCGCGAACATATTTGCATTTTTGTATGCATCGATAGAAGAAATATTGAGATTAATAACAGAAAAAATTAATTTTTCGAGATCATCAAAAAATACTAAATAAAGAATACATGTATCTTTGAATTCAACCAAAAAATTGTGCAACATAATTAGCCGACGTTTGGCCTATAGAATACATCTGGGCTCTAATAAAAGAAAAATTATGAGGGCGTGAATACAATAACATGAGACAATCGAAAAACGACATTAAAGAGAAATAAAACAAATTAGTAAATGGATTAATATAGGAAATTAATTAGACGAATATTAATAAATTGATATGAATTTCTTTTTACTTTGAAAAGTTATTTTGATTTAATAATATCAGCTCAAGTAACTAAAAAATTGATGAATTAGTGCACGATGGTGTTATTACAGTTTTTCATCTATATTAAAAGCTATCGGTCTGAAATTGTGTAGTTATATAGCATTAAGTAGGTGTAACAATCTATTTCAGTGGCATATTATTTAATTTATTTCTTTTAAACGATATTTGTTTATTAGAAGCAATTCATGAATATAACTAAAAATGAATTATTTTATAATCTTATTTATGTCTATTATAATCCATAAATATTAATCTATTAGACAACAATTCAAATCGTATAGATTTTTTCATGTTTGTAAATCTAGAAATTTGTTTTTATTGAGAAAGAAAGTACAATATATATATATATATTTATTATTCTATTTTTCAATATAGGATAATTGGTTTATATACAACATTTGTGGTTGTTGTTGCCCGATTATTTCGTACAATCTTGCAAACAAGTAGAACAATAATGTTTAATGAATTACCAAATGTTGAACGTTTATGGCATCTTTTACGTGATATTTATTTAGTTCGAGAAAATAATATGCTACCTTTTGAAGAAGAACTTTTTGCCAAACTTGTATTTCTATATCGATCACCAGAAACATTAATACGTTTTACGAAACCAAAGTCAGAATAGAATAATAGATTATTTTAAAAAAAGAATGGATATGGATTTCTATTACTTAATCATATATGTTTTTTTGTTGTTGCTTTTTTTGTGATATATATTGTGAGTTTTACTTCATCGTTTTCCTTTATTTCTTTTTTCCTTTTTTTTTACCATTCGTTGCTCAACACTGAAGACACGCTGTTTTTGTTGATTATACTTATATATTGGTGATTATTTATGCTTCAATTTGATTCTTCAAACAGTTGTTTTTATGTATTTTACAGATGAAATAAAGTATAGAATATACTCACGGCATTCTTTTTTTTTTCTGTATAAATATTTCAAAATAAGATTTCATTTTGGCTGTAAAAGAAGAAATAGATGATTGAAAAAGATACGAATTAGATATCCATTTGCCGTAGTGATGTTGACCTCATATGAATGATATAAGTATTCAAAACTCTTATACAGAGATTTATGTTTCTGGAATTCGCTCACATTGTCAAATTTCTTTTTGAATAGCAAATAATATATTCTAACGACGTCAAAAGAGAATTAAGATGTAGTGAAATTAGCTCTCATTCTCAATTAGATCTTGACTAGATGTTCTTTCTTTGTCTTCAACATTGGTTTCATTATTTCTATTTTATCTTAAAATGAATATCAGGATCTATAATCAAACCCGTAGAAAAAAAAAACAAGCCCCATTGACTGCTGAATAATAAGTGTTCTCAAAGAAATCACAGAGTATTTTTGAAATATCTTGTATATTATGACTAGCCTTTGTACAATCAAGCCATCTAGTTTTATGTCACTAGATTTTCTTTTTCTTATCCACTAAAGTTTAATTTCTGATACAGTAAGAATTCAATTTAAAATATATTGTTTTTAATTGTTACTCTTTTAGTAAGCAACTAAGCTGGACGTGTCGCACACCTAAGTACGAAAGAAGTGCGCTTTTTCTTCTAGGTTTTTATCCACAAATAGAAGTGCCGAGAAGTACCGAGCAGTATGAAGAAGTACGAAGAAGTATGCTTTTTCTCCCTTGCTAAAAGCACTTGATCTCTTATTTTAGTAGTAGAGGTCTCTCAATGCCGTGTTGAACCGCATTTTAAAATTCATGCTATTGTGGGTTTTATTTTGCAATCATTATAGAATTCTCGTTCGATTAACGCGTACGGTTTCGATTTATCTTGTTCTTGAATGATATTTTTCGGGAAATTTCGCTCCGATCACTGAAATTATTTGAGAGGTTGTACAAAGCTCAAAACGTGTATGAAATGACCCGATATCAGTATTTCCAATCGAGAAATTTTCCAGCATCACTTGTACTTTTTTGTCACACCGATTTGTAAAAGCACAGGTGAATTAGGCGGGTCTTGCAAAGTATCTTGGCATTCAACGATGATTTGACATATCGCAAGCTTGTTTAGTACCAGAAACCATTCACTAAAACCATCAGACAAATAAAGAGCAAATTGAGAGCGAAGGCTCTGTTCAAATATCAAACGAATCCACCGTTCAACAATAGAAGTGCGAGAACCTCTCTGCATTCGATCAATATCACCTTAAAATCATGGCTTTTTGCTAGAAAGACTGAGGACATCGTTTCATAGACGATGTCTTGAATGCGAGTAGACGCTTGTTTTTTCAACTTTTCTTATTCATAACTGGCATGATGATCTCGATTTAATGTTCAATGTTCAACGTTAAATGGAAAATCAGAATAGAATATTGTTTTAAGAATCGACTCAAAATATTTGCTGCGAAAGTGAAGAACTCAAGAAATCATTTCTCTATCAAATAATGCGTACCAAAGATTCAAACAGGCCGACTTTTTGTAGTTCTGGCCTGCTTGTGGTAGGTGAAAACTTTTTCTAGCCTTCCACAATCGATGTGATTCTGGATAGGTTGTAGATAAAACGAATGCTCACCCATATCTTGGCCCTTGTTTTTTCGCTTTTTCCCCGTATGTTTCAATCCAGAATTGTTGAAATTATGTTCCATGAGTGTTTCTTAATATGCATGTCTGTTTTAGACATCTTCTTAAATTTTTCAATAAAATAAGAGAGTAATCCGTTTTTGACCGAATTTAAATCTTTTCGAGAATTTTCAAGTGTTTTTATTTACATTTCGAAACACTTCGTTTGTTTCAAGGTCTTTGTCGTGCAGATTTTTTTGTTACTTGCAGTAGTTAGATTTATATGTTACATTTTTCTTCTGAAGATGAATGAAAAATAATTGTTAAAAAATATTAATGCATCATGTCCTTTTTAGGCTATCAACTCACACTAAAACGAAGAAAAATGAACGGAATCTGTGGAAAGAGTAGTGAAAATCACGATATTAATTGTCTTTGTAAACCACTATCAATGATTCTCGTAGAATATCATTTGATCCTGGAAATCGTGCCGACTAATTTACTTTTCAACAAACTATGTTGACAACATGATTTATTTTAAGGTCCATTAAGATTTTACGTACTGAGCTATATTTACGAGATGTAGACTAATGGGGACGAATTATTATCAAGCATAAGTTAACAGCACAAGATTCAGGAACATATGCATGCGCAAAGATGATCTTATTGGCACCTATCTCAATGAATATTCTTCATGCAAGATCACGGTGTGAGTAAGCAGCAAACAACCATGTCCATCCAGACCTACACTCACGCTTGGGATGAACAATGAAAACAATAAAGCCAATAAAAGACAAATATGGCCATGCTAATATTTATCATAAAGAACGAATAAAATCTTCATACTTCACCAATGCTTAATTCACATAGTTGATAAGAAACGAATATATTGTTGCACATACCATCGACAAAACACTGAGTAAGTCAAGTATGTTATCATACAGTTGATCAAGACTGTACACACGATGTTATTAAGATTTTTTGATGAATATAGAGTGTATGAGAATAAATTTACGAATGATTCTTATTCTTCGATGAAACAATTGTGCAACTTCACCGTATAATAAAATAATGACCGAAGTCAGCTTGTGATATCTATCTTCGAACATTGATGAAAAGGTAAAGAAAATACTACTATTTTCGTTACAGAAAGCATGAAAATTTGATTATTCATGAAGAACTTATTGCCCATTAATGTCTTGTTTTTAGGATCACCAAATGTCTCAGCAACATCTTCCTGTCCCGCTGCGTCTGCGTTCTTACCTTGCACCAGATATGTTCTACCTTTACGAAGCTATCACATCACGTTTCGCTAATATTCTTGAGATAGACATAAACTTTGATCAGAGTCCATGTGATGCTCTAGACGACACTGATGTATGAAATGGACAGATTGGTATCGCGTTTATCTGTGAACTATCTTTAATACACTTGCAGAGCGACGGAGTTCCTACGTTGGCATTCAGCGTTCTCATTCTTGAAGATCTATGACCAAATTGACTATCTGTATATTTTGTTGATGTGATCGTAGCACCAAGCCGTAGTCAATATCAACATCTCAAAGATTTACGAGAAGCACCATTCTGCTATAACGACGTCAGATCAAACAGTAATCATCATTTGCTTAGGGCATCATCTCATGCAAGAAGGGTTCATTGCACCATTTTTCTGTCGAACTATGCCATTAGGTTTCCACCAACAATCGATTCAGTTCGTGCTTAATAGTGATGACAGTTGTGCAGCAATTGACAGTGCTGTTCTGATTGAGATACAACGCAAGGATACTACTATGACCATACGTCTACGTACTGTGAACTCTGTTCGATTATGCCTTATTCAATCTGTTGCAGTAGCCAATCCTAATTTGTACCGTTAGATTCTCAATTTTCAGTAGACTCTTATGAAACATGATACAAAATTTACAAACGACAATGACTCAAGCTACAATTTACAATCTGGTATCTGTTTCAAACAAGGCAATACGCTGATTCTTCATTTATTTCTCAGAGCTGAGTACGTCGTTTATTCATTCGTTAACATTTAAAAGAGTGTTTCTGTTTTGAAGAAACTCAGAATTTGAAATGTCATTGTGAGTGTAAGACTTCTAATACCATTGTGGATGGATATGGATCAGATTGGACAAAAAATCCTGTCGACAGTCAGATTTCCATAGAAAGACATCCACGTCCTGCCATTAAAATAGACAGTATCATTCGTACCATGAGTCACATGTGCAGTCCTAGTTGATCAAGATATTTATATGACGAAATCCTTTCAAAACAAAACAAAACTATCGTCATATATGTTCAATATCACATAAGTCAAATGAATAACCAAAAGGCTTTATTGTCCTTTGGAAACAAAAGAAAGACGAAAGTTACATACTAAAAGAGTAATTTTAGTGCACTACTAAACCGTATTCATTATCAATATTCGCTATTTTTCCTATCGACAATTCCACTCGAGTAGTTCCTCCAAAAGATTCCATAGATCTTCTTCCACATCATTTTCAGAGAGATCTAGTTCGATGAGTGTCTGTGTGAAAAAGTGCAGACGGATAAATCAGAAAGATGATGAGAGAATAAGGGTCACCGTATTATGTTGTCATGCATCAGTCAGATATTCCACTCCTTCGTCTCCGATTTCATCGCCCCATATCTTGAGTTTGGTAAGTGTCTGTATGAAAAATTAGAGATATGTAAATGAGAGAGATGAAGAGAGAATGAAGGTTACCGTATTATTTCGTAACGCATCAGCTAGATGATGTGCTCTATTGACTCTCATTGCATTACCAATGAGAGGATTGCCGACAGGAAGATAAAGAGTCGTTAGTGTCTATGAGACAAAGATCAGTTCTGATTTTAAAGAGATTTTGTTACATACTTCGTCTGAAGTGCCATCGATCATTGCATCCAATTGCTGTTGAGTCAGGCGACATATACTGTCAATCCATGATACTTCACATCTGGATAAACCCTTCTTTTCGTCAACTATATTAATAGGTGTCGTATGAAGCCAGTTTTCAGATTGCAATAGAACGTATGGACAGGTTACAAACCAAAGCTTGATATGAACCCAGAATTGAGTTCAAAATGAAGTTACGAGT